GATTGTAATCATTGCAATGAAATGATGAATGTAAAACCGATTTTCTCCCATGTAAACTATCACTCAATTCACAATAAAAACTTTATTTAAAAGGCTCATGAGCAGCCTTTTAAGTGTAACTATTGGTCTCTCCCTGTCCAGAGGAAAGAAGAGTGATAAAAATTGAAGACGCTTAGAAACAACTAGTCCAAGAGACAAATGGGTGATGATAGCATCAGTACCAACAACCTTAAGAACCTAAAGGACTAGATGGTGTCCAGCTACCACCACCAACTGTTCTGGAGGAGGTAATATTAGAAGGTCCTGAAGAGAGTGAGGGGAAAATGTGGAACAAAACTCAAAATCATAAAAAAGACCAGACATATTGGTCAGAGAGAGATTGGTAGAACCCCAATCTCTTGAAGTCACCCTTCTGGTTTGAAACTGAACTTACCCCAGTAGTTCAATTCTCAGACAAGCAATAGATATCTATATAGGGGGGACAGGAACATTAGTGAGGTATGCACACTATAGAATGATAAGCCATTGGAGATCAAAGGGCAGCATTTACCTAAAGACAAGATTCAGAAGGCTTGGAAAAGAAGACAGAATGAAACCAAGAAGCACAGAGAGTAAACAGGATCAATGGTGTTACACTGAAGGGATTGCAATCAAGATGAAACAAAGTATTTGATTTTTTCAATGTAAAACTGATGATATGCTCTGTAAATCAACACTCAATACACAATCAAAAGTTCAAAAAATAATAATAAATTATAAATTCGGGAACAGCTTTTTTAAAAAACCATACTAATATGGAACGTGGTTGTGGTTGATACTAGAAAGTTGTTGATAAGTGCCATTGAGTCTGTTCCAACTCATAATGACTCTGTATAGGATTTCTGAAAAGTAGCTGGTGGGTTTCAACCACCAACTTAGTGGTTAACAGTCCAGGAATTACCCTATGGTGCCACACCATGACACTCCCCAAGAAAACCTCAAACTTCATATACATCTTTAAAGAAACCCAAACCATCATGCAATAAATATGGTTGTGGCTGATGCTTGAAGACAACCCTATATAAATAAGATTGACAAACATACATTTGTGTTTGAGTTATAATAAAAGGTTAAT